ACTTCCTACCCAACCTCCCTAATGAGACTGTTTCTTCTCCAATCCATTCTCCACAATTGAATCCATACTGAATCCATACTGATCTTTCCATAACATAAAGGAAATCATATCTGCTCTCTTTTAAAGCCATTCATTGGGTTCCCAATTTTTAAATCCATTCACTGGCTCTTATTCATTTGTTATCCATATACTGTAACAAACACATTAAACCCCCATCAAAAACAAATCTAGGGCACTACTAATGCCCCACATTCAGTCAAAATGTTCATCCCCATCTCATGACCCTGTCTCATCCAACACATGACAATAAACATCCTAAATCCTATTATCATAATTAAACTTGCTCACTTTATACAGTCTTGTTGCATTTCTACATATTCTTAAAATGCAATTTTTAAAAATTTTTACAGCTTTTCAAACTGTACCATGTTTATCATTTTTGAGGGATAAAACTTACTACTGCATTATCAAAATTCATTCATAGATTCATTGTAAAATATATGTACTATTCTTTTGCATTAATATATCATAATTCATTCATCAGCTTTCCCTTTGATGCGTCCATGGGTTATTCTCAGCTTTTACTTTTATGAACAGGAGTACTATGAGATATTTGTCTATGTGGAAGAAATTTTCTTAAGTATATGATAATAATTCATGGGTTACATATCAATGTTCAGATTTCAGAAATAAACTGTTATCTAAAGTTATAAAAAATGTGGAGATGCATAACCTCTAACAATTGGTATTATCAACCTTTTTGATTTTTGCCAACTGAATAGATATAATATGTCGTTGTAGCCTCGGTCTGTGTTTCCCTGATCGCAGTTGATGTTTAATATTTCTTCATAAGTTTTTTCTGCTATATGTGTTCCCTTTCTAAGCAGTGTCTCTTCATGGCTGTTGCCCATTTTTTTTCTTATTGGGTTATTTGTACTCTTCTTATTAATAGGATATATATATATATATATATATATATATATATATATATATACACACACATGTATACACACACACACATATACACATCTGTATATACATACATACACTTAATAGTTTCTCAGTTGCATGCTCTTTTAACATTTACAGTTTGTAACTTCTCTTTTAAGGCATATTTGAATAAAACAACTTTCTCAATTTTAATATAGTTAAATCTATCAATAATTTCCTTTATGGTCAATGTTATTTGTTTAGTATTTTTAGAATTCTCCCTTAATTCAAAGTCTTATGTCTAAATACTTTTCTGCTAAAAGTTTTAGTTTTATTGTTGACATTAATAAAGCCAAAGTTTGTCTTGGTTTATGACATGAGGTAGGCATCCAATTTCATGCTTTCCACATCGATTACCATTTTATTTTCAGATCCATTTATTGAAAAGCCCTTCTCTCTCCCATTGATCTGCAGTGCTCCTGTCACATTCTGAATGCCCAAACATGCATAAGTCTACTTCTAGAGTGTATGCGATTCCATTAGGCAATTTGTCTACCCATTGTGATCTCTTGTACCAATATTACAGTCTTACTAATCTTATAAGAGTTCTGTATTATCTCATTCAGAATTATCCTGTAATCTCTATTATTTCATAAAAATTTTAGTACCTTCTTCTCTAATTAGCTATTTCCTACTTGCATAATTTAGACTCAGCTTAAATGCCACAGCCTCTGTGAAATGTTATCTAAGAATCTAGACACATTTTCTCTACTGAGAGCATCCCTCTTCCTCATCCTAATATCCATTGCACACATTATGCTTCGTAATCATTTCTAAATTATGTTTTTTACAGAGAGAAAGGGAGAGAGAGAGACTAAGAGAGAGGGAGAGAGAAATGTTTACTTTATTATTGACTATAAGTTCCAGATAGTAGGAACCTCAGTTCCTTTATACCACCAGGTCTTAGCAGTTACTAGATACTTAACAAATATTTTATTTGAGTGACTTCCTCCTTTGGGGCTACACCCAAAATAACCACTACCCCCATACACATGCCCCACTGGGGACCTGACTCACCTTGAAGAGCAAAGTCTGTCTGGAGCATCATCCAGACTATTCATGCACCTTCACAACATTTAGCAGATATTGATAAAGGGTTATCATGAACCAATACTTCACTGTACGGTTTATGCACATTATCCTATTTAATTCTCAAGGCAACCCTGTGAAGCAGAATTACTATCTCTCAGGTTCTGATCTGAAGTGAAAACATTAAGATTTTGCCAAGGGATTTGCCAAAGTCATACAACTGGATCAAGGGGGAGGAGACAAGGACCAGGTTGATTAACAAAATCTGGGCTTTTAACTATGTGGCAATCTGTACTAACTGTGAACTCAGAAGTCCTGGTGCTTGAAATTTGTCTTCCTTTGTCCATCACTGGGCTTTTCCCTTCTTTTCTTTTTTTTGATATAATTGACATAGAACATTATATAAGTTTAAGGTGTACAAAATGTTGACCCAATAGGCACTTAAATAATTGATGAATTGATAAATAAATTAATACATGTATCTTAAAAATGAATTCATAGTGTATGCCAGTATCGGGTACTTTAAACCAGTTTAAAATTTAGCACTAAAAGGGATCTGAGAAATCACCTAGTACAAAACCTTGTTTTTTAAATAATGGAGACACCTAAGTCCAAAAGGATCAACATTTTTTTAAGTCAAAAAGACTGTTTCTAACATGTGCAGGACATGAAATTTTGAGGCACATACACTTTGCACAGCATCATCTGCCTGTAAATAAGTTACTATTTTAAATATGTGGAGAAATTCCTATATAGAGCAATATTCTGAAATAATAAGTAACATTGGAAAATAAAATTAAAACCCTATAGTTCAGTCCCATTTATTCAAGACAAATATTAATGTACAGCATTAACTAAGTCTTAAAAATAAAGGAATATAGTTTAATTTTACAACTTAAGTATAAGGAAAAATTACTATTTTTGCCTTGCGTCATTAAATTTCACATTTTGAGGGGCGCCTGGGTGGCGCAGTCGGTTAAGCGGCCGACTTCAGCCAGGTCACGATCTCGCGGTCCGTGAGTTCGAGCCCCGCGTCAGGCTCTGGGCTGATGGCTCAGAGCCTGGAGCCTGTTTCCGATTCTGTGTCTCCCTCTCTCTCTGCCCCTCCCCCGTTCAAGCTCTGTCTCTCTCTGTCCCCCCCAAAAAAAAATATAAATAAACGTTAAAAAAAAAAATTAAAAAAAAAATTTCACATTTTGAGATTTAAGACTGAGCATTAAGGACTTAAATCAGCAAAGCTGTACTTTTTTGGTACTTGCAGAATAAGCTGTCATAGTTTTGCTGAATCAGATTATGACATTTTTTTTTTGTGACCAATCTAGAAGTCTCTATTCAACAAATGACAAAGTGATCATTCCAAACTGATGAGATCCAACAAACCACATTTCCACTTTCAGCCAAGCAGCAGCTCAACTAAGTTAACAAAGAAGCAGAGAAGGAGGATTTTTTTCTGGGATTTTAACCAAAGATCAGCATATCAATCCTCATGTTCATTTATCAAAAACCGATAGACTCATAAAGTTCTCCTCTTTGAATAATTCTAGTATAAAGGCATAAAATATGCATATAAACTACCTAAATGGGTCGAGGCTCAGTCACTTCCAAGGTACTTTCAATTTTTTGTGCTAGGCAAAAACTACAGTCAAAGAAACTCATTTCACAAAGAGGAAGATCATCAGAATACCTCCAATTGAGTAAGAGCACTGCTACAATCCGATGCAAAAAAAAAAAAAATGTCCAAAATACTTTTTCACAAAAACTAATTTTTTGAAATGCTCTTCTGTGTTTCCCAAGCCTCATATAACCAACAGTTGCTTATTAACATATTTTGATTCATAGATGACCTCAAAAATATCTGCAACATTAAAAGCAGACTGTATCTGCTTTTTGCAAATAAATGCAAATCTCAAGCCAGTCATTTAGATTTACTTTTCCAAAAGGTACAAACATTTAATTTTTTTAATGTTTTATTTATTTTTGAGAGAGAGAGAGAGAGAGAGACAGAACGCGAGCGGGGGAGGGGCAGAGAGAGAGAGAGAGAGAGAGAGAGAGGGGCACACAGAATCTGAAGCAGGCTCCAGGCTCTGAGCTGTCAGTGCAAAGCCAAATGAGGGACTCAAACTCATGAACTGCGAGATCATGACCTAAATGAAAGTTGGATGCTTAACCGACTGAGCCACCCAGGTGCCCCAAAAGGCACAAACATTTCAAATGCAACTGAAGGCTTACTTTTTGTAATAAATAATAAACTGCAGTTTATTCTGCGCTAATGCAGTTTATTCTGCACTAATAAACTGCAGAAAACGAATCCCTACGACTTGACTTAATAAACCACCATGTATAAAAATCTTTACGTTTCTTTATCATTCATTCTTATCCTGTCAATGAAACCGATCCCTAAAGAGGGAAATACTGAGTTAAAGTGATGTTATCCTGTACCTGACATTACCTTTTGCACTTAACACAAGGCAATAATCTGGTTGTTGAATCTGAATCTGGCCATCAACATGTGTTTTGTTTAAAAAGTTGTTTGTTTGTTCATCTGTTTATTGCTTCTGGAAGTCTGGGTGTCATGTGTCCTTGCATTTTGCTACAACCCCCACCATCTTACTTAAGTAGTTGTCCCCTTGTATGTTAGGTGCTTAGCCTCCAAGGGTTTTTGCTTCTGGAGGCCTAAATTTTAAATTCTGTCCAATTGAATGTTCACTAAATTATTCTTTCCATACAGTCACAGAACACTGGAATTATGAAATTGGAAGGTACCTTAGAGGTTACCTAACTCTTCTCATTTCTCCCAACAGGACACCTGAGGCTGAGAGAAGGAAGTAACTTTCCCCCGGTTAAATGTACATTAATAGTTCTACCAAAATGCTCTGCTAACGCAAGAGCTGAAAAAAATCTCTACTTCAAAGTTTCACGTTTTGTCAAGAGTCACCAGAGCTGTCATCTCTGTAAGCAACATTTGCTTCGTAAGCACTTACCCCTGAGTGCAGGTAGCAGGGACCTCTCCTTCTTGTCATCGCATTTGTTACATTCACTGAAGTACAGGAGTAGGAAGACATCGACGAGAACCCACATCAGTGAAGTGGCTAGAACCACCTTGCAGTAAACAAACCTCCTCATGTCTTCCCTTGATTTCTAGTTAACACATAGATCGAAGACAGATGCTACAGTGATAAATCCAAGCCACAGGGGTGAACTCCAGGAAAAAAGCAGGATGCATCCCACTATATTAAAAAAGAAGGAAAAGAAATGTCATTATTGCATAGTTTTTTTTTTTTTTAGTATAAAGGGGATAAAACATGAAATACATGATGTATTTAATGTTCCCATATTTATAAGCACTTGACCTTCAAATTCAGAATGAAAAGCCTAAATAAGTGAGAACTGTAAGCAAACCAGGTGGCTAAAACGCTACCAGCTAATCCTAGATCTGTCACTACTCTGCTGGGCACTTGACAACTATTTGATTTTTTCAGGTTGTACTCTTTTCTTAAAAAGCCCTATGATGATATTCTGTAGAGCAGTAGGTTATCAAATAGAGCATCCTTGAATTTACCCTGATTCAGCACTTTTGAGGAGCTAATAACTGCCGAAACAGAAATCATCCCAGGATACAATAAATTGGAGTAACTAAGAACTGGACTTTACACACAGATAGGCCTGTGTCTATTCACCTCCTATCTGCAGGACCCTTTTTTAAAAAGGCTGTTTTCTCAACTATAAAATGAGAATAACAATGCCAAATCTAAGATTTGCTATGAGGACTAGCCACAATAATGCTTGTTAAGCATCTTGCAAGACAGATAATAATTAACGTATAAAACAAAATAAAGTCTCAAATTCTCAAAAAGGACCATTGCACGAACTAACTCATCTGTTACTTAACCTTAAAAACTCCATCTGGTCTGCAGAGAAAGTATCCACAACAAATGCATAATTTGGAATGGATAGCATACATTCAAAAAATTATGAGAGGGGAGACAACATATTAGTTTAAAGTGACTTCAGATAACCAAAGCACAAATTCTAAAAGGCATACAGATATGTGCACAATTACCTATTGAGAGGTATTCTAAATAAATGTAGAATTAATACCACAAACATATTTGTTTTATTGACACTATAAAAAGCAATAATTACCTGGTTAATTCATTTACAATAAATTGACAGTTAAGTCATGTACCATAAATATAACAGGCCAAAGATATGTTCATGCCATTTGCTACACTTAATATCAACTGAAGTTTAAAATTTTTGAGGTGAATAAGTAATACAATTTTGAAAGATATTTGAGAAGAACAGCTACAAAATACAAAGGTACTCAGAATACTTCATAAATATCTGTCTCAAAAACATCAAAGTGCAATTTGCTGAGGCAAATGCTCTTTAAATTAATAGCAGCTGACTTTGCATCATAAAGCAATACAAAGGCTACTGCCTGTAACAACCTATCCAGACTAGCAAGGAATTCAAAATTTACATAAAGTGACAGCTGAAAACATAACAGAGTCTATCTTCACTATCTACATTAAATTTACATTTATGCAGCATATTTTTTAAAAAAGGTATAAAATGTGCAAATCTACAGAATATATGATATGTAGGGTTTATCTGCTTGCTTATGATTTTTCTGGAAACAAATGTCATGCTAATTATCTACTTTATTTCATTTCAACTTCATTTTCCTGTAAAGTGTATAACTAAACATTGGAACTCAGCCTCTAAACCTGGTAACAAGTGAAGAATTCCCTGATGCATATTTCCTGTTACTTTGTGCATGCATGCTTTACTGAATACAAGGTATGAAACAATTCAAGCTGTCAAATGTTCTGTGTTTCTTGGTCCTATGATGAAGTAGTTCTCTTCAGTTTATTGTAGAAAAAAGTCCCACAGAAAAGTATATATAACACTGATGGTTACCAAATAGCCATCCCCAGATTTAAGATGGGAATATCTTAAAATAAAAGATCCTATCATAAAGATCTTACATGTTATATAAAGATCTTAATGAAAGGCATAAAAGCACCATCCCTGGCTCTGTAATAAAATGAAATGATGACTTTGGGTCAGGATTTTGCCTCTCTGTGCTTCACTGTCTTTATTTATAACATATTTCCTGTCATATTCAGCTCGCAAAATATTGTAAAGGCTTAAGCAAGATAAAGAATGAGAACATTTTTAAAAGAAAATATAAAGAATATTATAATAAAAAATCTGAAATCACTTAAGTTTAAATATTAAAATGTCTAAGATAAGACATTTCCTAATAAGAGCCTAACAGTTAATGTTATTCAGAATTTAATATAAATTTTAGCTGTAATAGAAAGTCAAAATCATATCTTATTGCCATTTCAAGCATTACTCAAATTATTCTAATTTCATAGCCTGAATGAGCTATATATCAAGTCATTAGCACTGAGAGAAGTCTAATCCCACTATTCTAACTGATAAAACTAAGTTGTTGTGTGATTTTTTTCATTTATATTTCAAGTTTCGAATTCTATCTCTACTTTGAAAACACCTACCTCCACCTTGAAAATGCACTAAATTTTATCATTCATTGAGCCATATCTGCTGGCACTTGCATAATGGTAACCTCATAAACTGTATTCCAATACTCTTCATGAGAACAAAACTGATGGGAGCAGAAGGATGGTACAAAACACACAGTAACACAAACCAACATAAGCACAGTTGGTAGCCCAGGTTTATTTAAGAGAATCAGCATCTGTATTATGTTTTTATTCCAGTAAGCCTCTATTTATTTGCAAACACTTCTCAGTTTCTGAAGCCAAATCCAAGTTCTGCAATATCCCTGTCTTGCCAAACCAATGTGGAGCATGACTAACTTGCATAAACTACAGGCTCTTCTATCTGAAAACACAGCCCCTTTCCTAATTGTTTCAGTATCTTTTGAGCACAGTTCCTTCTCTCTTTAAAAGTACTTCTCTGGGTGGGAATACTTTTAAGAGAAAGCCATCAAGTACCATCTTGCTAGTCAGATTGCCTTTCTTTTTCTTTTTGCCCACCAATCATGATATCCATCAGATATTCTATGATGCGTTACAGGATTTTTGTCTGAAGATATATACCATCTTCCTATCTTTATCAAAAACATATTTCAAATATAAAACAATCTAGATAAAGCTTAGGAGTCGGTAAATATGTTTTTAAACAAGGAGAAAGAGTTTTTTGTTTTAAAATTCGGAGGTTATCACTTCCATGGAGAGTCTAGTTTAGTTGCTATTAGACATATTTTTATCTGTACTCATTTATTTTACTTCGTAAAAATTGCATAATAGGTGCAAATTTATTCATTCTATTTTGTGAGGCTATATGTGAGGCTGCCAAAGCATCCTGGGAACTAGTGTAAGACTGCTGGTAGTGCTCCCAGAAGGTTCAGGCACCAACGTACCTCAAATGTTTTAAATAGCTATGCAGGAGCTTCTGTGAGCTGATGACTGGACAAATTTGCAGAACTGGTTTACAGACTAATAAATCTAATGTGTAAGCACTGAAAATGAAATGCGCTGCATTAGTCACAGGTATGATTGACAGGAAGACTGATCTTTGTATGAAGGAAGGTTAAAAATTAAAATGACCTAGAGGAATCTACCCATAGCTTAAACAAAGGATCCACTCTAAAAATCATACCACACTGGAAGATATACCATGAGACAAAGAAGCAAAGATAATGTTAAATGAATGCCTATGGGGGAAAAATGGAATAGAAGCAAAAAAAGAAAAACAAAAAACAAAACCAAAAGGCCCTCACTGGCATTTAAACCAAGGAAAGTTTGAATATTCATAACATAAAATTTGACTATTAGGAGGCAACCTAGCATGAGATCTAAAATTATATATTGCAGAGTTATAATGCCATGAGTTGGATCTGAGTCCAACACTCACTAATTGTATGGCTTAATTCAAGTTATTTAAATCTTCTGTGCCTCTGTTTTTCTATTCAGCAAATATGAACAATAATAGCTACCTCACAGCCTACGATGAGTATTGAATTAATTAATACATGCAAAACTCTTATAAGAGTGCCTGGAACTTAGGAGGTTCTCAATATACATTACCGATTATTAGTAGTAACAGTAAAATTATTATCAACATGAGCATCATCAAAAGAATGAGAAAAAGAGTAAGAATTATCTGCCCACCTTTCCAGAAGTAGTGTATACTCTGTGTGTATTCAGGGTGTCGGGGGACAAGATGAACATCACAAATATATTTAATGTTACTATTTATGAGTATTACAAACTACAATATTTTAAATTTAATAATCCAAAATATATTTAGAAGAGTTTCTGATGGAGATGAATTACACAGGATTTTGCAATTGTCAAAACTCGTTGAACTATACACTTGAGATTTGTGCATTTCATTCTGTGTAAATTACATATATATTTTTAAGGCAAAACCAAAATGTTTATGTACCAATCATTTGATTCCCTGATTAATACTTTTCTGACCCCTTTCCTACCATTGTTTTCTCTATGGTAGTGACTTGGGTCTCAGGCTGTTCCTTACAAATACCTTGCCTCTGGGCGTATGCATATGCTATTTTCTCTGTTCACTGATGTGGTTGGTCATGGTTGCCTGCTCTTATTTCCCTCAGATCTTACTTCCCCCTGCTCAAATGTCAAATCTTGGTGAGCTTTCCTATCAACCCATTAAAAATAACACACACAACTTAGTCACTCTGGATTTCTTAACTCATTTAATCTTTCTCCTTTGTACCTCTTACCCCCAAACATATATAAAAAATTTAGTTTTTAAATTTGTTTATTGTCTGTCCCTCCTTATTAAATAGTAAGTTATATGAGAACAAGAATTCATATTTCTTATATACCCCCATTCTCCCTCAAATATTTTTATGTTTTTAGAACTCCAGCACTGGCTGTTATGGGCTGAATTTTGCCAAGCCAGAATTTGTATGTGAAGTCCTAATCTCCAAGATTTTAGAATGTGACTGTATTTGGAGATACAGTCTTTTAAAAGGTAATTAAGGTAAAATGAGGTCATATGCATTGTCCCTAATCCAAATCATCCTTACAAGAAGAGGCGATTAGGACACAGAGGAAAGACCATGTGAAGACAGAGAAGGCAGCCAC